AATACAGTTGCATTTGCCTTACACATGACATTTGTTGCTTTCCGAGATTATTCTGGTCCTTTAGTGAGAAATGAACCATGCACATTGATTTGAGCAAAAGTTTGGTGATGAATAAAGGGATGTGTGCACATTTCTAAATTAGGATTATTTGCTCGTGTCCCTGTTGTCTCACCTTGTGAGCGTGTTGTCTTCTGATGGTTCTCCAAGGGCTCGATCTGCATCTGTGGTCTCGTTGCAGGCAGCGTGTACTGTATATCTCTTGTTGATGTTGGTGCACATCTACAGTGTGTATTGTATGCTTGTTGCATCACTGATCCACATATAACAGCATACAGCCTCATGGGTAACACTTTAAGACTGACATGACACCTTATAACCATGATATGACATATGGAAGGTTCATGCATGTGTAGTGTATTTCAGTCAATAATGACACTTTGAATGCAAATATGACATTGTTTAAGATGTCAAACTTATCAAACATAAACATGCATAAAACTTCCTTCATGTTTATAACGAAGGTGTCATGTTAGTCTTATGCACACCCCTTCAAGTAAAGTGTAACCGCCTCATGCAATGCGAGTCCAAATCATTTTTTTTTTTTTTTTGTAGACAAAAGCAACGGTCTTTTTAGTTCGTTTTTGTTTTATATTTTACGCTTTTGTAGTAACTGTTGAATATGTGTGTGGCCAAAAAAAAAGCATTTTGCCACTGAAGTCAAAACTGGATTTCGTTAGATACAAAATACTATATAATTGACCTTCATTTGAATGAATGATTGTGCATGCACTAAACATTTCATAATATGTTCGGTCTGAAATGATAAGAAATGATGATTTTAAAGGAGTAGTTCACTTTTAAAAATGTCATCCAAGACGTCCATGTCATTCTTTCTTCAGTCGAAAAGAAATTAAGGTTTTTGATGGAAACATTCCAGGATTTTCTCCATAAAGTGGACTTCAATGGGGTCCAAAAGACAGTTTCAGTGCAGCTTCAAAGGGCTTTAAACTACACCAGACGATGAATAAGTGTCCTGGGATAAATCCTGGAATGTTTTCATCAAAAACCTTAATTTCTTTTCGATTGAAGAAAGAAAGACGTGGACATCTTGGATGACATGGGGGTGAGTAAATTATCAGCAAATTTTTTTTTTTTTAAAGTGAACTACTCCTTTAACGTTGTCCAAGTTAGACGCATTCCTAAGTTTGTTGTTCCTGGAACAACATTTCTGTCCGGAAATTTCAATCTCTACGCCTAAACCTACCCTGCGATTCATAACTTATCGGGAAATGTTGGTGAATAACACGGATAAGCATCTAACCCTGGTTGTAAGCCTAAACATAAACTGTAAACGTGTCCCTCAAATCTGATTGGATGATTGGAATGTTGTTCCAGGATCAACAAAGACGTTAATCCAAGAACATGTTGCACTTGGTGAAATCAGTTTCTGCCATGAATTAGTGGAACTTGAGGACTTATACATCCATTACAATCACAGAAGCACCAGCTAACATAAGACACTGAGCAAAAATGACTCATAATTGGGGGGAAAAAAACAGTCTAAGTTGGTTTTCTGGTCTCCGCTGGCCAGTAAGATGGAGTGATTTAGAAGGATGTTGAGCACTTGTCATGTGGCCTATCAACTAAACCAGCTAAACCACTTAGCTAGACTGGAAGAGTGATGTGACCTGTCTTTTCAGCTTGAAAAGATGGAATTATTGCTGTGGCATCATTTGTCTGCAGATGACATTTGCTGTAATTGTTTAACCATCTAATGCAATGACATTTACACATTTTTGAGTGTGGTGTGTGTGGCCAAATGAAGGTATGTTTGCAATTCCTCCAGCATCTCTCCACATTATCCAGTGCTTTTCTTTTCTTTTCTTTTCTGTCATTAATACTAATTATGGATTGACATCATCTTTCTATTGAGAAATTAGCTGAAATAACTCAAGCAATGGGCTTCATCTCACAGCTATCAAGGCATGTCTCCCCGAACGTTCTGGCAAGGTTCTCTCAAAGTTATGAGCAAATGTTTGTTCAAAGTTCTTAAAACATTAGCTACATTTTTTTATTATTACAATTCATGAAGTTTTTTTTTTCTGAAATGTTTTAATTGGACGTTCATCTAACTCTTTTTTTTTAAAAAGTATCAGGTTTTTTCAGTGAACTTTCAAAAGTAACGTCCCTTTAATGTTTAAAGAATTCTAAAATGGAATGTTTGCCCTAATGTTTGAAATAGAAAAAAAACTGTGGGACGTTTGCCACTATATTTTTAAAACAATAATATCTTAGTAAATACCTTAAATATATTGACAAACTATATATCATTTGAAAGCTTACAATCTCTAGTTTCCATATTGGTGACTGATTTTCAAAATATATTACAGAGGAGCCATAATTTATCAATATAAAACAAGAATATTTTCATACTCATAAAGGCGTGTTCAGACCTTTATTTTAAAAATAGCAGTAAACATGAAAAATCATGAAAATATGGTAGATACCTCAGTTTGTTTTCATGCCAAAAGTTCAAAAGATAGAATCCATTCAATTATTTTGGAAAAAAAAAAGGTCTGAAAAGTTTGAAATATCAAGAAAAAAATAATAAATTCACCATTTGTGACGTGGCACGTTTCTTAGGGTTCAAAATTCTTTTCAATTCTTTTTAAAATCTGCCAAACTTCCCATGCTACTTCTGAATAGGATCTCTACTTCAGAAATTGTATGAAAATTGTGAAAATAATGGTTCATATCACTCAAAACATGAATGGAAATGCAGGCGCCCTTATATGGGCAGTAATGGAGTCTGATTGTGCCGCTAGTGAAAAAGTTTGGTAAGCTGCGCTCGAAACAAAATCTTACTGAAAGCTCATTTTTTGAGATATCAACCTAAAATTTGAAACACAACTTGT